CCAGACTTCTGGTTAGCAGTCAAGTGCCTTAGGCACTATGCTACCAGAGCTCCCGGGGACAAATTTAGGGACCCTCATTTATGGTATAAACAGACTGTCAAGCATAACCTAAAATGCACAAACAGATGAAGATAAAGTAAATGAATGGGACCTTCTAAAAATCAAATTTTTATGTGCTTCCAAGACTCCTCCAAAAAAGTAAATAGAGAACCTACAGATTGGGGAAAAACATTCAGCAACAACATATCTGACAAAGGACTTATCTCTAACATTTATCGTAAACTCCAACAGCTCAAAAACAAAAAGATAAATAATCCAATTAAAAATGGGCAGAAGACATGAATAGACACTTCACCAAACAGGATATTCAGGTGGCCAACAAACACTTGAAGAAATGTTCATGATCATTAGCCATTAGAGAGATGCAAATCAAAACAACAATGAGATACTATCTTGCCCCAGCACTAGCAGCAAAGTTCAACAAGACAGAAAATAACAAATTCTGGCGAGGATGTAGAGAGACTGGGACTCTCATACACTGCTGGTGGGAATGTCAAATGATACAACCACTGTGGAAAGCACCATGGCGATTCCTCAAAAAATTGGAATTAGAAATACCATTTGATCCAGCAATCCCATTATTAGGTATATATCCTAAAGAAGTGAGAGCCAGGACAAGAATAGATATATGCACACCCATGTTCATCACAGCACTATATACAATAGCAAAGAGATGGAAACAAATTAAGGCTGGTGGTTCAAACCCACCAGCCACTCCTCAGGAGGAAGATGGGGCAATCTACTTCCGTAGTGATACTGCCTTGGAAACCCAAGGAGGGGTCGCTATGAGTCAGGTCCGACTCGACGGCACATAACAACAACAACAACAACTGAAGAATGGATAAGCAAACTATGGTACATATACACAATGGAATACTATGCAATGCTAAAAAAATAATGTAGAATCTGCAAAACCTCACATAACGTGAATGAACGAGGAGGACATTATGCTGAGGGAAATAAGTCTATCACAGAAGGACAAATACCGTATTAGTTCATGATTGTAAAAAGTCAAAGAAAGGTTTATATATATGGAAGGAAACTTTCTTTATTGGTTACTAAGGGTGGGAGGGGAGGGAAGGAAACATTGCAAAAATAAATAAACAAAACAATGTTTGATAACAAATATGGTATCTTTTTCCCTTTTTCTGTACATAGTATCTGTTTGTAATAAGAGCATAATACAAACCACTCAAATAATTTTTATTTATACTTTGTGGTTTAAAACAATATTTACCACTACTAGAAACTGTATCAGCAGAGCATTAAATTTTCTAAGGGTGACTTAAGTGGAAAGATTAAAAAAGGCAGATTCATGTTGTGTTTTTTGAACTAGATAATCACAGGAGAACAAAAGTTCTTTGTCAGTTCCTTTAAAAATTTGGTATCAACTTTATTACGGTTTCAAGTGATAAGGTTCCTTCTTTTGAAGGGTACAAGAGAAGCACTCATTAAGTGTATCTCCTAAAGAATTTTCTTTTTTTTTTTAGTAAATTCAATAAATTCTTTAGTAAATTTGCAATGCTACATCTGCACAGTTAATGTATCAGGTTTTGCAAACTGATCTGTGGCCCAAATCATGCCCACTGTTTTCACATACTTTACAGGGTTTAAATAAAAGTTAAAAAAGAATAATATTTCATAACATGTAAAAAAAATATATGAAATCCTAATTTGAGTGTATATAAATGAAATTTTATTGCAATACAGCCACATTCATTTGGTTACATACTATATGTGGCTACATTTGTGGTGCAACAGCAGAACTGAGTACTTCAACAGAGACCACAAGCCTACAAAGTCTATCTATCTCACTCTTTCCAGAAAACCTTGCCAAGCTCTGCTATAAATGATGAGGGTTAAGGAAGCGATGAGTGGGAGAAGAATGTGGAACAAAACTCAAAATCATAAAAAAAAAGATCAGTCCTACTGATCTGATAGAGACTGGTGGAACTTCCGGAGACTATGGCCTTTAGTCACCTTTCAAGCCTGGAACTGAGCTTACTCTCATGGTTTAACTTACAGTGGAACAATAGACAGGGTGTTAAGGTGAAGGATGCACTCCTTAGAACAATTAACCACATGAGACCAAAAGAGTAGCATTTTCCCAGGGGCCAAGCTCTGAAGGCAGGAAGGGATAGGAAAGAAAGACACAGGGAGAAAGTGAGAAGAATGGTGTTACACTATAGGTTTGCAATCAATGTCACAAATAAAAATGTTTATAATTTGTTAAATGGAAAACCAATTTGCTCTGTAAATATTCACCCAAATCACAATTTTTTTAATGACTATTTGCATGAGTAGTAAAAAGTAATATTTAATAGGGAACTATTAAGAAAAAATTTCATTTTCTATATAATACTCACCTTTGGAAGGACAGGCTTGGATTTAACATTTTTATTTCTCCTAGAGAGAGAAATATAATTCATTAGAGAAAACTACTGTAGAAATGAATGATATCAAAGTCTCTTCTTAAACAACAGACTATATACCGGTTTCTAAGGATGTAGGTCCTCTATACAAAAACAACCTCCTTCAACCAAAAAAGCAACTTTGGGACGAAGGGTAAATATGGAAATAAACAAAGAAGGAAAGAGATTCCTGCCATATAATATAGGTATAAGGAGACTCAAGCCTGATGGATCAGTAACATAATGTTGTACATCCTAAGCTAGCTCATATTCCTCTAGGTGTTAGTGGGGTTCTGCTTTCTTGTACCTACCTACAAAGCTTTACTATTACTGTCATTTTGAGACTTGAAATGAGATGGTGAATTTCATAGTATTTTGAAAAAGTGTTCTTCTCATTAAAACTTATGATCTTCAATGTTTAAAATTGAAGAGAAATTAAAAATTCTCTTCCACTTTTTTCTCTATTCCCAATTCTAATACGCTTGCATTAACTCTTTGTTTTGATTTTAGGCTACAAAAAGAGAGAATAGTGAAAGAACAAGGGGTACAGAGTTGGAAAGATCTGGGCTTGAATCTAAGCTCTATACCTACTAACATACGACTTTACCCTCTCTAAAGCCTCGGTTTCACTAAGGAATAGTGTAAAATGAGGATTATAATGAGTTAAATGCATATTTCTGGAGTATAGTAAGTGTTATACACACTAAACCTATTGATATTTATTAAGCAATGACTTGGACATAGATTAAGGAATCCAATTCAGCCACACCTCTAGGAAGTGGTCAAAAAATATGCTTGGGAAGTATCTAGAATAGAGTGGTACACAGGTAGATAAGAACTTTTTACTGGTCCATTATGCATGGTTATATCTCTGTCCTCAAACCAATCATGTAATGAGGCTTAGATAAGTGCCATATATCACTATACACAGTCCTACTCATGATTAATAGGAGATTTCCCTGCCCTATTTGTTAGCACTGGCAGAATTAAAGAATTGCAATAAAGATTGGGAATCCTAAAAAAAAGCTAACTTTTTTTTTTTTCCTTTCAGAGTAGCATCTGTCCAAGAGCAATAAAGAATCATCTCCATAACAAGTTTATTCAACCATAAAACACTCTAAGGGATATGAAAAAAATAGTTTAATAATGCATGAGATTCGTAGCTCTAAATAATCATTAAATCATTTTGATTCCTGACTTACTCAAAACTACTTATGAAAATGATGCTTTACTCTTCATTTTTTCAGTCGGAAAATTTAAACCAGTCATTAAAAGTAATCCAAATTACTGATAGAATACTAACGTGAGAATTCCATGGGCTCTCTCCAGGAGTTTGCTGCTAGTTGAATTAGCGAATATCCCATCTTTATCAAGCAAGGAGTTACTACTTGATAGTCTGCTTTGCCGGATCCCTGTTCTGCCATTCCAGGTAATATCAAATGTATCACTGTTTCAAAAAAAATAAAAGGTGAAATATTCTTTAGTTTATTACGGAATCAGGCCACACTCTCTAAAGTTCTTAAATAAAAACCTTAAGCACTAGTTATATTTCAGAGAACAGATTAAAATTACAAGTGATTATAATATAGAGTTAATGGACAAGAGAAAATGTAGAACAGAATTTCCAATTCTCATGAAATCCAGAGTTTCTAGAGCTGGAGAGGCTGAATTAATCCCCAAAACTATGACCATTGTGCTCTTTTAAGAATTATCTATAGAGGATCAAACAGACAATAGCAACTTGAAAGATTAGATGGCAGTGAGTTTATATTAATGGTATAAGAACAATACGGAAAAGGTGGATGACAATAGTTGCATAACTTGAAGAATATAATCAATGCCACTGAACTGTACATGTAGAAACTACTGAGGGTGTACATTCTGTGTATATTCTCAAAAAAAAAAAAATCTGAATATATATTTGGATCTGTCCAGTAACTCCACAAAACACTAATAAAGTAATTTTTTAAGGAATTAACATATTAAATAGGGAGAATATACTAACAAACAACAGCAATTTATTTTTGAAATATAGAAAGCAGAGGAATAAGTACTAAACCTGAGAAAGCCATTCTCAAGTGGCTGTGGGACAAGTCAAAAAGCAACACTATTCATTCCACAGAACCCCCATTAGGCTCCAGAGCTGATGGTACCAAGTACCTCTTCATTTGCATTAGGCAATGATTTCTTAAGTATGACAACAAAAGCACAAATGAAAAAAGAAAACCTGACAAACTGGATTTCATAAAAATTTAAAAACTTTGCACTTCAAATGACATAATCAATAGAGTGAAAAGGAAAGACAGCCTGGAAAAATATTTTCAATTCAAGTATCTGATAATGGAGCTGTGTTTTGAATATATAAAGAACTCTCATAACACACTAAGAAGAAAACAACACAATTAAAAGACAAAGATTACACAGCAATAAAAAAAATGAACTACTGATATATGCAACAACTTGAACGAACCTCAAGTGCATTGTGGTAAGCATTATGCTAAGTGAGAGTTAATCTCAAAAGGTTAGGTACAATCCCATTTAAATGGAATATTTAGAATAGGAAACTGCATAGAAACACAAGTTTATTAGTGTTTACCAGGGGCTAGAGGAAGGAGAAAATGCAGAGTTACTCCTTAAGGGGTACTGAGTTTCTGTTTGGGATGATGAAAAGCTTTTGGAAACAGACAGTGGCGATGGCAGTACAACTGGTAAACATAATTAATATCCTGAATGGTACATGTAAAAACAGTTAAAATGACTAATATTTTATGATAATTCGTTTTACTACAATAAAATTAATGTATATCCACACACTTGCATACAAGAATGGCTACATATAAGATGATTCCATTTATAAAATAATCTAAAAGAAATATTAATACTCTAGAAAGAAACGACGAACAAACAAGTAGTTGCTAGAGGATAGGAGAGGGATGGGAAAGAGGAAAATACAAATAAATAGCATTAAAGAATTTTTTTGTGGCGATGAAACAGTTCGGCATCTTTATTGTGGTGCTGGTCACAAAAATTTATACATGGGGTTAAACTGCATAAAACTATATATACGTAAATAAATGCAGGTGAAAAATGTAATCTAGTTAACTGTAATACATTGATACAAATTTTCTAGTTCCAATATTATACAAGGAGCTCTGGTAGCATAGTGCCTAAGGCACTTGACTGCTAACCAGAAGGCTGGAGGTTCAAAGCCACCAGCCACTCCTCGGAAGGAAGACTGGGCAATCTACTTCTGTAGTGATAACGCCTCAGAAACCCAAGGAGGGGTCACAATGAGTCGTCTCTGACTCGATGGCACATAACAACAACAATATTATACAACAATTATATGTCGCTGTTGGAGTAATTAGTTGACGGGTACACAACGCTCTTTGAAATAGTTTTTTCTTTGTATTGTTTTTGAAACTTCCTTTGATTATATCATTATTTCAAACTAAAAGTTTTTTAAAAAGTAAATATGATCTTTAAATACAGATTTTCACATTAGTTCTTCATTTATACTCCAGTAGTTTTAGGATAGTTAGGAAAGTATCTTCAAAAAGTTTTAACAAGTTTGTTTGATCAAAGAATAACTGATGCATCTGAATTGAGGGGTTGGCAGACAATACTGAAAATACCATGAACTGCCAGAAAAACGAACAAATTTGTCTTAGAAGAAGTACAATTGGAAACACTCCTTAGAAGCGCAAATGGCCAGATTTCATCTCACCTACTTTGGTCATGTTGTCAGAAGAAACTAGTCCCTAGAAAAGGATATCATGCCTCATAAAGTAGAAAGCTCTAAAACCAACTTACTGCCACTGAATCGTTTTTGACTCATAACGACCCCCACAGGGTTTCCAAGGCTATAGATCTTTATGGAAGCAGTTTGCTTCTTCTTTTCTTTCGTGGAGCATCTGGGGGGTTCGATCCACCAACCTTTTGGTTAACAGCCAAATGCCTTAACCACTACACCACCAAAGCTCCTTTCAAAGTAAAGGGTCGGCAAAAAACAAAGGGCAGATTCTCAATGAGATGGACTAACATGGAAGCTACAATGATGGGCTCAAGCAGAGCAATGCCTAAGAGGATGGTGCAGGACTGGGTAGTGTTTTGTTCTGTTATACACAGGGTTGCTATGAGTCAGAACTGATTCAGTGGCACCTAACAACAATAACAATGGATAGCAGATCTGTGACAAAGGGCCAAAACTCATTAAATGGTGAAGAGATAGTCTCTTTAATAAATGATGCCAGCAAAATTGGATATCCTTTGCACAACAATGAAACAGGATCCTTATCTCACACCTTATACAAAATCATACTCAAGCTGGATCAAATACCTGAACATAAAACTATAAAGACCATCAAAGAAAAAACAAGAACAAACTTAGAAATACTAATAGGCAATAAACACACTATAGAACAAAAATGCACAAATATCAGAGGACAAAATAGATGACTGGGACCTCCACTCCCAGTCCAGTCCCCAAAATTAGCCACTTATGTGCATCAAAAGATTTCATCAACAGAGTAAAAAGAGAATCCAGAGACTGGAGGAAAAAAAAAAACATGGCAACAACATATTGGACAAGGGGCTAATCTCTAAAATTTACAGAAAACTTCAACATCTGGGCATGAGACCATTATTGTAAAAAGCCAAGAAAAGGGTTTCATAAAGAAAAGTTACCAGGGTGGGTAGGGGAAGAAAGGTAAACCACTAACTACAGAGTATACACATATTAACTTGGGTAAAGGGAAAAAACAGAAATCAAGCAATTTTAATTTAAAAAAACTGATAATAAACATTATAAAAAATATATAATACATCTAAAAATTTAACTATACACCTACCCCTCACTTATCAACTATCTGGTTATCCAACATACTGCATTTGTTATAACACTAAAAAATTTACTATCTGACTATTTTGCACACTAGTGACTTAGATCTGGCAGTAATAAATGCCAAGCCATGAGGAGTCATACTGGCTGTGATGGTTAAGCTTACATGTCAACTAGACTGGGCCATGATTCTCAGTGGTTTGGCAGTTATATAATGATGTAATTGAGCAGTAATGTAAAGAAGTTATTTGGCAGTTATGCAATAATGATGTAGCGATCCTCCACTTTGTGATCTGATGTGGTCTATCTCCATTTTCAAATAATGCCAATAATCACGTAACAACCTGGTCCTTGGAACCTAACCATGTCAGTAAGTAAAGACAGTGTGTACTCAACAATAAGAAAACAATCAATCATATTACAAAATGGGCAAAAGATCTGAACAGACACTTCACCAAAGAAGCTCTAAGCATATGAAAAGATGCTTGGTATCAAGTCATTAGTACAATGCAAATTAAAACAACGTGAAACCACTATATACTTATGAGAATGGCTAAACTCCCAAACTGGCAATACCAAATAATGTCAAGGATATAGAACAACAGAACATCTGTTTGCTGGTGGGAATACAAGATAGTACAGCCACTCTGGAAGGCAGTTTCATACAAAGCTAAACATAAGCTTAGCATATGATCCAGGAATCACACAACTAAGTATTTAGCCAATGAACTGAAAGCAGTATACCTACCCCCCCCCCAAAAAAAAACTGTACATCAATCTATTCCATCACCACTACCCATTTCAAGCTATCATCTCCTGCCACAGCTATCAGTCCTCCTGTACCCAGTCTAGTACTTCTCCTAATCATTCTGCATAATGCAGTCAGAGTCTCTTCTGAAATGTCAGTCAGTCCCCAGCTTACAAGAATCATGTAACATTTCACTGCTCCTGGTAGCATAGTGCCTAAGGCACTTGACTGCTAACCAGAAGGCTGGCGGTTCAAACCCACCAGCCACTCCTCGGAAGGAAGGTTGGGCAATCCTA